TGTCATCATGGGACTTATGTTCTACTGGGGGAGACAGTTAATAAGCAAATCAATAGGTACACATATAAGCTAATATTCAGAAGTGATAGGGCTATAAAAAATGAAAGGGGGGAGAGAGATTGATTGAAGGAAAGCACTTGGTAAATTTTACAGCACCAAAAAACTGCCGCTCCCCTTGCTTGTGTTCTCTCTCTGTGTCAAATAAATAAATAAAATCTTTAAAAAAATAACAAGGAAAGAAAATTATATTTTTTTCACTTGTAGATATGTACTCTGTTTCATTGTACTCTGTCACTTAATTATGAATAGCTCCAGGTGTGAGTTGCCTGTCTAGTCTGTTTAGAGTTCAAGGTCGGAATGTCCTTGATGAGTTCTGCTTGAGGTTTCAGAGGGACAGCTTACTTTTTCTGGAGGAGGAGAGTCTAAACCAACCTCCCTTCTTTGGCAAAGCCTCCTTTTTGTCTTTTTTTTTTTTTTTCCTCCTAGAACTCAAATCTCAAGCCCCTCTCTGGGGCAGGCACCTACGATCTATCTCTGAGCAAGGCTGGGAGCTGGCCCTGGAGGTCATGTAGGGATGAGAAAGAGGGAGTTCGCAGGGAGACCTTGCAACCAGAAGCTCTACTGTCAGGTCCAGCTCAGCCTTTTCCCACCAGTATGACCCAGACCTCGGTTTCTCCCTTTGTAAACTGAGGGGTCTGGAGCAGATCAGCATTCCCTCAAACGTTATGCGCGTACAGCAGTCCCATGAGATGCTCTGGGGACAATGGTAAGCCCAGTAAGTTTGCCAACTGCTGGTGCCTCTAGGAGAAATGGGAGAAGGCCTGCAGGGGGGTGGGGGTGGGGGGCCGGGGAGAAGGTGAGCGGCGCTGTGTTGCCCCCGGCCGGGGCATTCTGCCCTAGCTGGGACCCAGTGCCCCTCACTGCTGGGTTCCGTCGGGAAGCTTTCTGGGAAGAGCCGGCTGTGGGCTTCTAAAGGCCTTTCCCATCAGAGAGGCCTGGGCTATGAGAACACCATCCTGGGGATGTGAGGGTCTGAGCACCCCCGCGGACCTGTGGCCTGTGGTCGCCTCCCGCCCCCACGGCGCGGCTCCAGCCGACTTCTCTGCGGGCCGGTGGTTAAGTGGGGAGACGCGTCTGCGTGCACAGCCACTGCTGGTCCGGCCGCAGCCGTGAGCAAGCGGGCGTCCCACTGCCCGGGGCCTCTCACACGCGGCCGGACGGGCCTCTCTCGCACCCTCCCCCAGATCCCCCAGAATCCCCGGGGGCAAGTGAGACTCACCGCGAGGCTCAGGCGACACGACGGAGGGGCGGGGCCGCCTCGCCCGGGGCGGGGCCCTGTCAGGGTCGCTGGCAAGGACCTCTTCTGGCTTCCGGAACCGGAAGAGGGGCAGGATTGTGGCAGCAGGTAGCGCGAGTCTCTGGTTCCCTTCCTTCTCCTTCCGGTTCCCCTCTGGTCTACGGTTTCCTCCTTCCAGAAAGAGATGACAAATGAACCCTCCTTGGTGAAGGAGAGAAAGGACCGCGCACCAAGCTCCCCATGACTGAGACAGTGGTGGTGAAGGTCAGTCAGGGAGGGACAGTGACCTCAGCCTGAGCATGTGCGCTGTCAGGGCCTGGGAGCCCAGCTGGCACGGCAAGCAGGAGACGGCGGGAAGTCTGGCTGGAGTGTAGACTGAGTCATCTCAGCACGGCTGAGTCCAGGGTAGTCACGCCTGTGAGTGATGAGCACCTTGAGGAAAGACAACGTCACTGACGTGTCTGGAAGGTGAATCAGGAAGCCACAGAACAGAGGTCTCTGCATTCCCGGGGAAGGCTTCCTCTTACTGCCTGGTTCTGATAGGTTTTCTCCCCCCAGTGACCTCAAAGGAATGATAGCTTTGCAATTGACCTCTCTGGCAAAATGAGCTGGTGTGTCTCAGAGCTCCAAAGGGCGGAAATTGTGGGGTTTCAGAGGCTGACAGCCCTTCTCTTTTTCCCTCCTTCCCTTTCTGTCTCTCCTTTTCTCCTTCCTCCCTCCGTTCCTTCCTTCCTTCCTCCCTCCCTCCTTTCTTCTTTCTGTCCATCCTTCTTTCGTCCCTTCTTTCCTTCCCTCCTGCCTTCCTGCCTTCCTCCCAGCATGTCTATATTCATTTCACAAATATTTACTGGACAACTGCTATGTGCCAAGCAGCGTGGACTGGGGACACAGTGGTGAATGAGACACAGATGGTCTCCGCTGTCATACATCCTGTGGTCTAGGGTGGAAGAAGGATACCAAACAATCACGAGTGATTCCCTGCAATTTGAACCTAGTCCAGGGCCTCTGAATGCACCTAACAGAGGTCTTGGCAGGACCCAGAGGGCCAGGGAGGGCTTCCTTGAGGACAGTGCAGTTAGGATGAGACAGTAGGATGGGAAGTTCACCAGGGAAGAACATTCCAAGCAGAGGGGATGGAGGAAGTGGAGAGCTCGACGACTTTGAGAAACAGGTATAAGTGTGGCCTGAGCGGGGGATGGGGTAGGGAGTGAAGGGCTGAGGCAGGATTCAGGTCAGCCAGGACCTGGGAGGCTGTGTTGAGGATCCGGAGCTCTATCCTCAGAGCCCTTCTTAGGCAGAGATGGGTGGAGGATTGGTCCCCATGGGCCCTGCAGGGGTTGTGAGATTCTTCTCATGGAGTGTTCTGATCCCCCCACTATCAGTCACACCGCATAAGGTCAGGGAGCGGCTCAGGACCACACATCCTGCTGTAGGAGGCTGGCTTCTAGGCGTCATCCTGCCCAGACCCCCCGTGGGTGACTGTGGGCAAGTGCTTTCTGTTCCCCTCACTGTTTCTAAGGAGGAACAATAGTAGTGGCTGCTGGGGAGACTTTTGCTTTTTTAAATGGACAGTCCAGGCCCAGAGGGAGGCTGCTAATCCCCCCCTTCCAAGCCAGAAAACCCTGGGGTCACAGTAACATAGCAGCCTGTTTGTTGTGAGGTGGCACCTTATGCTAGGAATGGGAAAATCCCAAGGAAGAATCAGGAAGTTCACAGATACTTTGATATAGTGGAAGGAGTCCAAGCTTTGGAAGCAGAAAGACTTGGATGTGCATTTTGGATCTGCCACTAGCCATGTGGCCTTGGACAAATCACTTAGCGTCTCTGAGCCTCATGTGCTCATCTGTAACTAGGGGACTATTGCAACAAGATACCCTCATCCTGCTCTATAAGGATTACTGATGGTGGTTGTAAGATGTTCAGCACAGCGGAAGTCGCCTCTCGGTATTTGGCTGAGGTAGGAAATGTTTAAACCTTCCTAGAGAGGTGGCTTTTCACTTGTGAAAAAGGAGAAGCCTCATTTGTCATCACTGCTCAATAACAGTCCTTTGTGAGTCAAGCTGTCACTGCTAAGACATCCTACCTTTTGTCTCTCTGCATGGCACCTGGACCCCATCTCCCTTGGTCTGACTGGAGCTGAGCCTGGCAGTATCAGGGCAGAGAGAGAAGTACCCAGACCCCTGGCCACTTATTTGACCTCACCCCTAGTTCCCATGAAAGAGATCACAGGGGACATGCAACACTGGTCTTGCTGAAACAGCAGGTCAGCGGCCTGGGCCAAACTGTCACACACAGGCACAGTTGTCCCTTTCCCCATTCCTGTTCTTGGGCCACACACCAAGGCCTATCACATCAGGCACGAACCCTTCCGAGGACCAGGGCAGGAGAGACCAACCCGGTTTCTTGGGCTACACACACACACACACACACACACATGCGTGCGCACGTACACACACACGGATGTAACACATAATTATGTAACACACATACACAGATGCATAAGGTGACCCCAAGCCCAGAGATACCCAGATACTTGAGCACATATAATGTTGTTTAATTTTTCCATTCGGTCTCTTATCTGTGAACAAGGATGGTAATAAAAGGGGAATGTTGTCAGATTGTCACAATTATACATAAGGTATGTGGAACGCTGCCTGACCCAGAGTAAGCACTCAGTTTTTGCTAGCTATGATTTATTACACCTGGAAATCCTCACAGGACACAGACAGATATGGGAACACAAATATACCCAGACCCAGCAGGATCAGATCCCAGGTGCACACATACCTCACTTCTGCCCACAGACAGAACGTGCAGGTGCCCATCGAAGGGACGCCCACTGGTGGCCAGTGTGGTAGGGCTCACGTGGTTTGGCCTTGGCTGAGTTAGGCCTGATCACTTTCAGCCTCACTGCAGCCAAGGGAATGAAATTGCTCTGTACATTCAAATGAGCAAGGTTTTGAGATGGAGCATAGAGGGAGGGTGTGCGGAGAGGCAGGAAACTGGACCTGAGAGGTCAAAGCCTCTTCTAAAAAGGGCAGATAGCATCTTCTAAGCTGTCTTATGGCTGGGCCTGCAGTGTAGACCCCACCCACCTCTGACACTCGAGTGGAAGGTGTTTTGCTAGCAACACCAGACATGACAGGTATTTGGAGATGATCAAAGAAAGGGGGCTGTGTCCCACATCTGAGTTAAGGTGCCACTGGCCACACTCAGAGGCAAGAGAAAAGAGAGGTGGAATTCAGTGAGAGCAGGAATTAGAGCCAGCGGACCAGGAGAGAGGGAAGCGATCCGAGGCCACTGGAAGATACCATCATAAAATGGGTGTTGGAGCCATTACAATGGCTGGGGGTACAGGACCCTCCAGGTGGCCAACTTCTGGATAATAAGCCGCGGAAATATGAGCACTTATGTCTAGCTCTCTTTAAAACAATATCCCCACCTGCTGAGGGAGGCTGGAGGGAGGGATGTGGGAATTGTGTGGGTTTGGTAAGGGAAGGCTCAGTGAAAAGTGGGTGTGGGGCAGAGCAAAAGCTGTGTTGTGGTCAACTTGAAGGCAGTGTGGGGTATATCTTGAGGGAAGTCCTCTAGGAACTTTCTCTGCAGTTCATCAAGAGATTTCCTGTGACCACACACTGATTATATTTAAGAGGAGTCTGTGAGTGGCTCTCAGATGATTAGTCCTTATCATCTTTCTTTCAAGGAGGAAGCTACCCGTTAACACTGTGATTGACACACAAGGACTCTGGACGGCAGGGGAATTTAAGGAGGAGATCGATTGCTTTTGAAGAAAAGGTGGCCATCTGGATGGTGCAGGTGCAAGGTAGCTGGGCTGCAAGGTGGCAGATGGTTTGGTCCTCTGAAGACAAATTAGGGAACCCGCATGATGACAGATGGGCAGATGTTGGGTCGTTGTGAAAGGGGTTTGTCCAGGTGAAACAGATTTTTTTTTTCTCTTTAAATTTGAGCTGAGCAGAAGGATTTCATCACTATTTATTAACTGCCTTTCAAACTTTGCCCACAAACACAGTTGGAATCTCTTTACGGCAGATTAGTTTGGAAAATATCTCAAGCAATAGAAAGAAGAGAAAGGAGAGGCTCTGCAGATCTATTATCCCTTACCTGAAATTCCAAAAGGTAAGAAAGCACTGAAAACTTTTAAGTTTATTTTGTGAACTTATTTTTAAGTAATCTCTATACCCAGTGTGGGGCTTGAACTTAAAACCCTGAAATCAATAGTTGTACGCTTTACCAATTGATCCAACCAGCCACCCCTGAAAGCTTTAAATTTTTTTTTTTAAAGATTTTATTTATTTATTTGACAGAGAGAGACACAGCGAGAGAGGGAACACAAGCAGGGGGAGTGGGAGAGGGAGAAGCAGGCTTCCCATGGAGCAGGGAGCCCGATGCGGGGCTCGATCCCAGGACCCTGGGATCATGACCTGAGCCGAAGGCAGACGCCCAACAACTGAGCCACCCAGGTGCCCCTGAAAGCTTTAAATTTTTAAAAAACTCATGTGGCAGCAAAACCTGACCTAGTTGACCTGAAGCTCTTTGTCATCTTTATCCCATGTAATGGAAATGTTTTGGTGCAGAAATATTGATGCGTTTGACTATTAAGTACTGCCTCCAGACTCCACTGGGCTTTATACAACGTGGGTAATGTGCACTTGATTACCTACCTAAAATCCAAAGAGTTTTGGGTTCTGAAACACATTGGGCCCCCAGGGTTTATGGATGGGTCCTGCCCACCTTCAGGGACAATTGAGAATGAATGTTCGGAAGGCTGCCAGGTGGTGAGTCTGCTTGTGCTGCCTAAGTGCAAGTAAGAGAGCCAGAGAGGTTCCAAGGGAAAGCTGCAGCTTTTTGTATGGGTACACCTGGGGTGGGGGGCGCTGGGGTATGCCTGGGCAGGGGGAGGCTGGGGTATGCCTGGGGAGGGGGCTGGGGTATGCCTGGGGAGGGGGGCTAGGGTATGCCTCGGGAGGGGGGAGCTGGGGTATGCCTGGGCAGGGGGAGGCTGGGATATGCCTGGGGAGGGGGGCTGGGGTAGGCCTGGGGAGGGGGGAGCTGGGGTACGCCTGGGCAGGGGGGTGCTGGGGTATGCCTGGGGAGGGGGCAGCTGGGGTATGCCTGGGCAGGGGGAGGGGTAGCTGGGATAAGCCTGGGGAGGGAGGGGGGAGTACATGTCTAGGCTGGTTCCACTGGACTTAGGATGTGAAATGAACTAAGAGGGAGAGAAGCCCTTAGAAAAGCCATTCTCCTGGATGAAATAATACTTTGTAATAGAGCCAATAAGGAAAACATTTTTGATGGCTATCTTTGTAAAGGACCCATTCAATTAGGCCCACCTGCAAAGCCACTCCCCTCTTTTCAAAACACATTTCAGAAACCTGGGGTGTGACTTTGCTGTCACTTGACTCACTTTTCTTGTCTCCATCAGGCAGGTCCCGGTCCCATAGCCCCTGCAGGCTCCCTTGTGGGAGAGCAAGGAAGAGGAGGGCTGAGGTGGGAGGAAACAGAGCCGGTAGGATGGACATAAGGAGGTTCCTCAGTCCCCATTGTCCCTGAGGCACTGGGAGCTTCCCTAGACAAGCAGCCACGCACGGAAGTGTTGGTGTCGCCCAGGACGGGGCATCAGGTAAGAGAAGGGGCCTCTGCAGAGGAAGGGCAAAGTCAAGGGCCCTGTTGGCTCAGAGCCTCCGAGCAGCCTAATGGGCTAGGCTAAGTAAGCCAATACACAGACACGTGCCCACAGAGTTCTCATAATAAAGGAGCAAACATTTCTGGGGCAATTTTTTTTTTTTTAAAGATTTTATTTATTTATTTGACAGAGAGAGAGATAGCGAGAGCAGGAACACAAGCAGGGGGAGTGGGAGAGCGAGAAGCAGGCTTCCTGCCGAGCAGGGAGCCCGATGTGGGACTTGATCCCAGGACCCTGGGATCATGACCTGAGCCGAAGGCAGACGCTTAATGACTGAGCCACCCAGGCACCCTCTGGGGCAATTTTTAAAAACAAGCTGTTTTCATTTAAAAAGAGATGGCTTGGGGTGCCTGGGTGGCTCAGATGGTTAAGCATCTGCCTTCGGCTCAGGTCATGATCCCAGGGTCCTGGGATCAAGCCCGGAGTCAGGCTCCCCTGCTCGGCGGGGAGTCTGCTTCTCCTTCTCCCTCTACTGCTCCCCCTACTTGTACTCTCGCACTCTTTCTGTCGAATAAATAAATAAAATCTTAAAAAAAAAAAGGAAATGGCTCATGTGGAGTTTATGCAGAGAACCCTAAGTGACTTGCATCTTTAATAATGGTTTTGCCCCGAAAACAGAGGTGGATTTTAGTGATTTTTTGTTGATGTCACCAACAATAGAAGACCTTCAGTGAGGCTCCTGATCAGGGGATTCTGTGGGGGCCACCTTGAGCATTCATTTACAAGCACTTCCTGGGACAAAGAATGCAGAAGCCGGCCATGCCCAGTCTCCCACATAGGGCAGCACCTGTGAGGGAGGAAAGGCTAAGCCTGGGTGGGGCACCTGGAGTCCTCTCCACAGATGTGAAGAACTTCCAAAAGGAGAAGGAATCAGGGAACTGGGAGCAATGGGTGGAGTTCCCATAGTCACCTTCTGTCTGACTCCATTGAAGAAAGAATGCCACCTAATGATAGAATGGGCTATGGTGGTTGGGGAGGAATAATGCGCTCCTCATCCCTGGAGGGGCTTCAACAGAGGGTGGTACTCCTTGACAGGCATGCTGCAGAGGGGGCTTATGCCACACATGGGGGATCAAAACAAACAAGTTATTCTCATCAGGAAAGGAGGAGGGGGGATTCCAAATCTGAGGGCAGAGGGGGCAGAAAATTACTCTTGTCTTCTGGAGCCACTGCTCTGTCCCTCTCCCAAATCTGAGACCCAGTGTAGTTGAAGCCAGTGGGTAAGCATGTGCCTCCCGCTCTTGGGGAGGACAGGTTAAGGACCTCTGGACTGATGCTCCCACCTGGAGTACTGGGAGCAACAACAAATCCCTGGGTAACTGTAATGGCCTAGAGAAATACTGACCCAGAGCTTTCTAGGAGGGTTACAGCCCAGAAACGCAAGCTGAGCTCACGTTTGCAAAAAGGGGACCTTCCAAGGTAGCTGTTCTTCTCCTTGCAAGCAGGACCCCCAAACCTCACGAAACCACCTCACCTGATTACGGGGCTACTTCTGATTTGTAGGTGATAGAATACAAAAGACCGTGGTGTCAGCCAGTATTTAAAACCAGGAGAAATGTGGAACTATCTCATTTATGTCTTAATCTCTCCCTGCCTGTCGCCATGCCCAGCACAATCCAACAGAATTTTCTGCAATGATGGAAATGTTCTCTGCTGTCCAGTATGATAGCCATGAGTCACAGGTGGCTATTAAGCACTTGCCATGTGGCTGGTGTGAATAAGGAACTGAATTCTTTATTATATTTAATCTTTACTGATGTAATTTAGCCACATATAGCTAAAGCCCACTATACTGCCCAGCACAGCACTAGACTATTCTTTGAGAGCTATAACTGTATTTTTAAAAAATCTTTGTATCTCCAGCTCCTTGTGTAATGCCCATAAGCAGAGATTCGATGAATAAGCAATGGCCGAAGGTGAGGAAGTTCTGGGAGGTTTCTAGAGAGGGCACGGCTGAAATCTGAACACTAAAGGGCTCTTTTTAGTAGCTTAATGGAGACAGAAAATCACAGGGAATTATTGGCTGGTTCGTCTGCAGTTTTGTTCTCCTCAGTGGCCTTGGGAATTCCTGCCATTTTAACCCCAGTTCGATGCGTTTTGACAAATGTACACAAATGTGTAACCACCACCAAAATCACGATACAGAACATTTTCATCACCACAAAAAGTCCCCTTGTACCCGGGGTTGGTTTCATGGGTGTGCAAGCAGCGCGCTCACATGGGGGCTCGTGCTCAGGGGGGCCCCACACTTGCTTGACCCTTTTGTTGCCACTGCCTTAAAATTCTTACTGTTGGAACAAGGGGCTCCCTGTTTGCATTTTGCACTGGGCCCTGCAAATTATGTAGACTGTTCTGCTGGTACTCCTTTTGACCATCCCAACACTAGGCAACCACTGATCTGCTTTGTTGCTGTAGGTTGAATTTGTCTTTATTTTAGAGTTTCATATAAAATGGATTTGTAAAGTATGTACTCCTTTGAGTGTGATTTCTTTTAGAATAATGCTCTTGAGATTCAGTGTGTGTGTGTGTGTGTGTGTGTGTGTGTGGTTAGCAGTAGTTTGTCCCTTTTTTATTACTGAGTAGTATTTTATTGTGTGGACATACCACATAAGTTTATCCATTCATCAGTTGATGGAGTTAGGTTGTTTACAGTATTTGTCTACTGTGAACAAAGGTGCTATAAACTTGTGTGTACAAATCTTTGTGCGGACACAGATTTTCATTTCTCTTGGGCAGATACCTGGGGATGGGATGGCTGGGTTATCGGATCAGTGTATGGCTAACTTTCAGAAACTCTCAAATTGTTTCCTAGAGCGCTCGTACCATTGAACGTTCCTACCAGCAATGTATGAGTCCCAGATGCTCCACATTTTTGTTAGTGCCTTGTATTGTCCGTCTTCTTAATGTGAACCGTTCGAAAGGGTAGGCTGTAGGTTTTACTCTGCATTTCCTGGGTAAAATGAGGTTGAGCCTCATTTCATGGCTTTTAACCATTTGTATATCTTCTTTTGTGGTTTCTGTCCAAACGTTTGCCCATATTTGTTTGTTTCCTTATTATTGAGTGTTAAAATATATTCTGGATGTAAGTCCTTTGTCAGATGTGTGTGTGTATTAATCAGATATATTTTCTCACATTCTGTGGATTGTCTTGTCCTTTCCTTAGTAGTGTCTCTAAAAAAGAGAAGTATTTTTTAACTTTGATGAAGTCTAATTTAATATCTTTATTTTTTATGGTTTGTGCTTTTGGTATCCCGTCTAAGAAATTTCGCCTACCCCAAGTTTACAAAAATTTACTCTTTTTTTAAAAAAATTTTTTATTGTTATGTTAATCCCCATACATTATATCATTAGTTTTAGATGTAGGATTCCATGATTCATTGTTTGTGCATAACACCCAGTGCTCCATGCAGAACATGCCCTCTTTAATACCCATCACCAGGCTAACCCATCCTCCCACCCCCCTCCCCTCTAGAACCCTCAGTTTGTTTTTCAGAGTCCGTCATCTCTCATGGTTCGTCTCCCCCTCCGGTTTCCCCCCCTTCATTCTTCCCCTCCTGCTATCTTCTTCTTCTTTTTTTTATTTCTTAACATATATTGCATTATTTGTTTCAGAGGTACAGATCTGAGATTCAACAGTCTTGCACAATTCACAGTGCTTACCAGAGCACATACCTTCCCCAGTGTCTATCACCCAGTCACCCCATCCCTCCCACCCCACCCCCCACTCGAGCAACCCTCAGTTTGTTTCCTGAGATTAAGAATTCCTCATATCAGTGGGGTCATATGATACATGTCTTTCTCTGGTTGACTTATTTCGCTCAGCATAATACCCTCCAGTTCCATCCACGTCATTGCAAATGGCAAGATCTCATTCCTTTTGATGGCTGTGTAATATTCCATTGTATATATATATACCACATCTTCTTTATCCATTCATCTGTTGATGGACATCTTGGCTCTTTCCACAGTTTGGCTATTGTGGACATTGCTGCTATAAACATCGGGGTGCACGTACCTTTTCGGATCCCTACTTCTACAAAAATTTACTCTTAAGTTTTCTTTTAGAAGTTTTGTAGTTATTCTTTATCTTTAGGTCCATGATACATTTTGAGTCAGTTTTTGTGTATCACATGAGGTAAGAGTAAAGGTTCTTTTGCCCACCCTCCCTCTCTTCCTCCCCTCCTTCCTTCCTCCCTCCCTCCTTTCTCCTCTCCCTCCCTTCTTCCTTCCTTCCTTCCTTCTTTCCTTCCTTCCTTCCTCTCTCTTTCCCTATCATATCCAGTTTTTCCATCACTATTTTTCCAAAAAACTTCTCTTCCACCATTGAATTAGCTTTTCACTTCTGTCAAAAAACAATGGCCACATATATGTGCATCCATTTCTTGATTCTCTCTTTTGTCCCACTGATTTATATGTTCTATCCTTATGCTAATACCACCTTGTCTTGATAAATTATAGTATTTAGTGAGTCTTGGAAATCAGGTAACATAAGTACTCCACATTTGTTGTTTATAAAAATTGTCTTAATTATTTCAGGTCCTTTGCAGTCCCATATAAATTATAGAATCACACTGACTCTATAGATCAGTCTGGGGAGAATTGATTTCTTAATAAGACTCAGGTCTTCCAATTCATGTGCTCCCTCTCCATTTATTTACCTTCTTTAATTTTTGTCAGTAATGTTTTGTAGTTCCCAGTGCACAAGTCTTGTATATTTTTGGGGCTAAATTTATCCCTAAATAGATAATGCTTTTTTGATGGTACTGTAAATGGTATTATAAAATTTTTTTCTAATTGTTTATTACAACTATATAGAAATACATTTGATTTTTGTATATTGACTTTGAATTGTATGATGTAGAACTTATTACTTCTAGGAGCATTTTGTAGACTCACAATCATGTCATCGGAGAATAAATTCAGTTTTACTTTTAAAA